TAAAATATAACGGCACATGTAGACATGTAGATCTTGAAAGTCGAGTTATTCAAAACTTGAAAATAGCGTTGATAACTGGACCAATTGTTGGTTGAGATGTTGCAAAGGAAATATCTGCTGAAGCTTTTTGCCAGCCACTAATCATAGCAGCCTTAAGCTAATCAGGAAATGTCACATATCTACTGAAGGATGTGTAGATTGTATAGGAATTTTTTTTGGCAGCAAAGGACAGGTTTATGTGCTTTAATAAAGATGGCTTCCAAAATATAGAGATGAGAGGTTGACCAATCATTTGCGATAGTTTTAAATATTCTATCCATGTAGTTGTCAGTACAAGTCGGGTTCACTAGTAAATGCTGGCCAATCTCTGATTCACATTTTGATGGTAGAAGTTTTGTTTTACAGGAGTGACATGGTAAATTATTTTCTTTCACACTCTTAATTCTTATAGATGTTGGTACATGTTGTTTAATTCTACCTACTAACAATATTCACAGAGAGAAGATTTTTGCAGAGTTTGAAATTTTATATGCTCAACTTACTAAACATAAACCAGTATTGAACGAAGAACGAAGGGGTCTGATACTGTCACTAATTTTGAACTGCTGACTTTTGTTGCTTGTAGGGGTGTGCATGTACTAAATGATTAATCAATTATAATCAGTTACCAAGCCCATTGATTAATTGATTAGGAAATACCACAAATTGTCCACCTTTAATGCAGGCACTTAAATTATGTCATTTTAGTCATTAAGTTAGGTTACTTTTCTTTTTTGAGTAACAGAGTTGTATGTTATGTTTGTTTACAGCAACAAGGTTGTAGTGTGATAATTCTAGATGAGATTGGAAAAATGGAGATGTACAGTGAGCACTTTAAACAAGCTGTACGAGCTAGTTTTAATCTTAATGGTGTATCTATTTTGGCTACTATTCCTGTGGCCAAAGGAAAGCCTCTACCATTAGTTGAGGAGCTTAGGAACAGGAAAGATGTCACCATAATTACTGTATGTATTCACAAGATGCTTGTTGTTAAGTACTTGTAGAACAGTATATATATATAGTTAAAATGTAAAATACTGTTTAAAGATAAATTGAGCTAAAAATAATTAAATTCACCCTAAATGTGCTTGATAAATTAAGATGATATATTTTTATAATGTTTTTATGTCCCATTGTGAGATAGTACATTTTGATTTGACAATGTTTTTGTTTTTGACATTATCCTGGAATATGAAAAATGTTTTTACACACATATATATATATATATACTTAGAAAGAATACAGTTTATTTGCAATGTATGCTATGCAAGCGGAAATAGTAAAGATAATCAGTTTCAGCTAAATGGTATTGTTTTATATTTTTTTATGTAAATGAACTACTATAGTTTAATCAAGACTGTTTTGGAAGCTGAAATTTTGACATTTATTTTATATGTTTTGATGTTAATGTTGTTTTACAGTTAGCATTATAAGATTGAAAAATTAGATTTAAGAACACATTCATTTTTACCTTTTTATTTACATAAGTTACTGTTTTTCTACTGATTTTTAAGAGGAAAAAATTAGCTTATTGATGCACACACTTTTATCTCTCCACAGGTGACTCGTGATAACAGGGAGAGCCTTGTTCAAGAAGTGACCTGTCTTCTTCTCAGCACAGCTTGAAACAAACTGTGATTATATACTTTGCTTTAAGGAATTTAATGAATTTATTATTTGTATATATACACACTTGTAAATAAAAGTGGAAAAAAGCATTTCCATATATCTTGCAATGAAAAATAATGGCCTGTTTTACTCGTTTAACTAGCATTATTACACATCCTCACTAATAGAGCTGGGCCATTAATGAAATTTTCTAAACAATTATTTATTAGGCTCATTAATGGATTATATTGAACTAATCAAGTGAAGCTAATCTTCCTAGTTTCACCATATTTTAGTTCTTTTTGAAGACTATACCCTTCAGTTAATATGATGGACATCTTCAGGTACACTTAGCAGTGTTACATACTGTTAGACTGTTATTAGTGCATGTCTACTAATTTCTGACAAACACAATTTAATGAGCGAGTTGTTCAACAATCAAATTTGCTTCTGAGTAAATAAAGAATAATGGGTGCTACTATAGCACGTGGTCTACATAGATACTATCATCATCACTGTTTTAATGATTCACTAATACATAATTTCTTGCTAAATGATTTATATCTATCCACATTTTTGTTCAGCAAATAATAATTTGATAAGTTGTGTGTTCAAAAAGAGTACCTTAAATTTAAGTTGTAATTATGTTATTTTAATTGTTGGAGCTTATTTCATTTCAATTATATATTCCCCAAAAACGATATGTAATGGTATTTTGTACTTTATTAGCTTAAAAGCATTATTTATAATAACTAGTGCCAATTGCAAATAAACAAAGGTTAAAATGGTGATGATGATAGTATCTGTGCAGACTGCATGCTGTAGTGTATATATCTTTGTTGACCATGTGCTATAGTAGCACCGAATAATGAATGATAACTTGCTGTAAATTTTTTTATCAAACAGTCTTATTTTATGTAATACTGATTACTTTTGTAGTTTGTAATAAATAAAGCAATATATTAAGTTATAGCTACACTATTATTTAGTCCTAACAATGTAAAAACAAAAACAGGTCTCACTAAGGCTAGTTATGGAACCGACAACCACTTAGCCATGCGAGCAGTATGCATGCATAATGTTGTATGCAGTCATTCCAACAGGAGTAATAATATCTGCATTGTTGTGTCATGATTAATCATACTAATAGTTTGTAAAAGTAGTCCAAGAGTTGCCAGTGGGTGCTGCTTGTTGGTTGCTTTTCCTCTGGTCTTCAGTTCAAAATTAGGGACAGACTGTTAACCTGACGACTATGGTTTGTGTCTTGTTGCCACAAATCCCACTATTTGATTATAGTAGAACAGGAGTTGATGGTAGGTGCTGTTGACTAGCTCCCTTGCTCCCATATCTCATTACCTCTGTCCTTCATTACTGCATGAATATACTTCTCAACCATATTTGGTTTTCCCCCTGTCCTCTGACATTCGGGTTCCTGCTGAACAATTCATCTCTCAGTTGGGCAATGGCATTAGTATTCCTTGTTCCCCATGGGCTTTGGATCGGTCTGCCCTCACATATTGTAGGGCTGACTGTCCATATCTCAACCAACAACTGTTGGGTTCAGTTTTACCCATTTTGGGGGTGGGCCCAAATCTCCTGTTAGTCTCACCCATGCCCAGTTTTTCCACTTCCATCTTACCCTTATGACCTTTTTGCAGTACCTTTACACAATCCATTTCCTGTCTGAAACTCTTCACAGAAATCCTGAGGGATTTTCTGGGGACATTTTCTCCCTCCTTACCTCCATATTGGCTCATTTGTGGTCAGAAGCTCAGACTTAACAAACATGTTTTATCTGTTTTGGGGACCTTTTAGGTTGTGATGCTGTTTTATCAAGAACCCATTTATCTGCACCTTATTTCTAGGATTTGTGTATGGCTTCGTTTTTAAGACATTTTATCATTGATATGGTCCTGGGGTGTTAGGTGGTATCTGTCCAGCAACAATCTACCCTTTCTCATCTGGTAATCCATTTATCTCAGTCAGAGCTGAGTGTGGCACCAATTCCATTTACCTGTCCTTCCCAACCCTTACCTGTCCCTCTTTCTCATGGTGCCACAGCTTGTCGTTTTTAGCGACAACGCACGATACTTTGCCACCAGTCCACTTGTGGCCTTCATTCATCAGAGGCAACCTTTCATCACAGATGTTTGGGTTTTTCAGGTTTTGTCAGAGGACCTCAAAATTCCATTTCATGCCCAACCTCCCTTGTCCCAGTTACGTGTTTCCTTCCCTTCTCCTCAGGATCCCATAATTTGCCAATGTCTATCAGAGGCGTTCAGCACCTCCTCACCCATCAGGCTATCGAACCTGTTCCACATCATTGTTCCCAAAAATACTGGAGGCCTGTCATTGATCTGTCCTGCTTCAAGTGACTTGTTCAAATCCCATGTTTCACCATGGAATCCTACCTCACTCTTCAGGGGAAATTTTCTCTGCTTTTGTGGATGATCAAGATGGATGTCTCCGATGCTTATCTGCATATTCCCATCTCAGAACAACCTTGTCTTTATCTTTGGTTTGTCCATCAAGGGGTGGTGTACCAATTTTACACCCTACTTTTTGGGCTGGCTTCTGCTCTTTATGTTTTCTGTCGGATGGTGAAAGCTTTTGCTCTTCTTCTTCATCATGTCTTGGGGCTACATTTCCATTTTCACCTGGACAGCTGGCTACTTCTGGCCCATTCTGAACATAAGTTGGCCAGTCATACTCGTCAGCTCCTTCTCGAAGCTGCTCAGGTAGGCTGGTTGATCAAATTGGAGAAATTCCTCCTGCATCCTACCCAATACCTTGTGCATTTGGTGTCTTTTTCAACACTCACCTCAGTCAGGTCCAACCTTCTCCTCTTCTACTCTGTTCTATGAAATTGTCAGTTTTCTATGCACTATCTGATCCCTCACTTTCTGCAGGCGAGTTTCTGTCACTTTTGGGGATGTGGTCTTCTATGACACCGCTAATCCTTCTTGGCCATGCTCACATAGGCTCCCTTCAATTGGGGGGGGGGATTCTAGTTAATCTTATGAACAGAGGGAAGTACCTATTGGAAATACATTTTCTGTAATGAACATTTGTGTTGATAAGTCAATATCTGTCTACACTCATTAGTATCAGATGTTATATGATTCTACAATAGGTGGCATGTAACAACTATTGCTGGTTAGCAACTGAGAGTGACATTGATTTTGTCCACTGAAGTGGAATTAAATTATTAATGCATATACTATTAACCTAGTAACTTCCTCCTTTCGGCTCCAGTAGTTACAGTTTATAGGCACAACATTTTCAAAGAGTTTAAATTCTGTGTGCAATTATATTTATAACATCTTCCCTAAATTCTGTTGAACTGGTATGATAAATATCAATGAAAAATGGGAAAATCCATTGTAGTTAATGGGCACCATGTTGGAAGATAATGCTAGCTGCCCACATCCTCAACATCATTGGTGTAATGTGTTGATTATACTTAAATGTTTCTGAGAGCAAGAGATTTGTGAATTTAATTTTACAGCTGGAAGTGACACTCAGATTTATTTATTTTTCACCTTTTATTGGTATAGTTTGAGGAATTATGTTTTTCACTTCATTATTGGTGTATGTTTGTTGGTCACAATTTGACATGATTCCTAAAAGTTACATAGCTATACCCTTACTGATAACTCTTGAAGTAAAATGCTTGAAGAGTATAAATTAAAGTACTGTTAATTTATTTTCATGTGGTGTAAATCTGCTAATATGTAAAATATTTCTGAGCCAATTTTCCAGATAGTTTTATAATTACTGTTGCTAAAGTTAAAACTGAAAGATATTTGTAGTTAAAATAATCTTCCATAAGTTTGTAAAAATATGTAAAGGGATTGTGTGAACATAAATAGTAGATTATTCTGTTTGAAGTTTTAGCTCCTAAATTTCATTACAAGAGAAGCACAGTGTAAAAACTAAAATGAGAATATGACTTGATAAATGTATCTTACAATCAATAAAATAAACACTAGGTACCAGTATCATGAATTTACCTCTAGGAGACTGTACCCATTGTGAGCATAGCACGGATACCCCATTGTGTTGTTTGTACTTAATTACAAACTATAAGATCATACTCATCCAAAGAAGTTACTTGAGCAAGCACAAATAATTTAATATTTTTTTCTAATATAATTTTCTTCTGGTGGGTCAGCAGTAAGTTTACAGACTTCTGATGCCAAAATCCAGGGTTTGGTTCCCTGTGATAAACAGAGCTCAGAAAGCCAATTGTATGGCTTTGAACTACAACAAAAACACAGTGTAATCTAATTTTATCAAGTTTCAAGTATGATTATAAAATCCAGGGTTTGGTTCCCTGTGATAAACAGAGCTCAGAAAGCCAATTGTATGGCTTTGAACTACAACAAAAACACAGTGTAATCTAATTTTATCAAGTTTCAAGTATGATTATAAAATTGTTACTTGTGATATAGAGCAATGCAAGCCATATTTGTCTACGTGTGAAAAGTCGTCTGAGACGATGTTCCGAGTCCGTTTTTTTAGTTTTATTAGTTCCAGTCTTGCATCTAAATGCAGGTTTTGTATGTGGTTTGTTTTATGTCTGGTAAAGAATTGTGCCACCATAAGTTTCTTACTCTCCTGTTTTTAACTACAGTTATATTTTATTTTCAATGTTACCTTCATTTGTTGATGTATATTTATTTTAGGATAATATGACAGACATGAATTAATAAGACACCCCATCTATATTCAAGTCTCCTAGAGGCTGGTTTTGATACTCGTGATGGGCACAGCATAGAATGCACATTGTGTAGCTTTCTGCTTAACCACAAATAAACAAAACACTTGTTGAAAGGACCATAATACCACACTCGATTATAACTTCAATATGAAGCATAGTTCTTTTGTTTCAAAGCAGAAAAGTAGATGAACTTGATGACGTTCTTAATTTACAACTTCAAGGTGCTAGAAAAGGCATTCGTTCCTAAAAATAAGTTAAAACTAGAGCAATTTGATTTTAAATCGTCTAAAGTACGAAAAGAAAGCAATTAACATACCACCAGATGGCGGTACTGAGTAGAGAAATTTGATGTTTTGTTGTGAGCTGTAACTTAACTAAGTTAACAAAAAAATGACAATACATTTAATCT